TTAGGGTTTAGGGTCCAACGGGTGCAACATCGGGTCACACACCGCGTTTTTCCGGTATCGAATACGTTGAGGTTAGGTCGGCAAGTTCAGAGTTCACCAAGTTCACGTCGACGCCAGCTTGGCCGCACGCACCTAATCATTCTCATCTCGGCAACACTTTCTTAGTATTATGCTTCTCTATTAAAGGAACATTCAACGCCATAAAGCATTGCAGAACTTACCACTGTTTTATAAAATTTTCCTTTCAGTCTAAGCGGTACTTTTCTATCACACAAAAGGCCCGAAGCATTCCTCCACTTCAACCAACCAACTTGAATTCTACTATTAACATCCCCATCTATATCACCATCGCATTGAACAACCGACTTGAGATATCTAAATCGTTCACACCTTTTAATAATTTGATCACCCAAAGTTACACTTCTATTACTAGAGCTACTACTACTAAAATTACATTCCACGTATTCAGTTTTAGTTCTACTCAAATGAAAGCCTTTAGACTCCAATGTAAACCTCCATAATTCAAGTTTTTCCCGACCTTTAGTTCTACTCAAATAAATATCATATGAGTAAATTGCCCTTTTAATCTTACGTCTAACATAAGTTTTCAAATTATTTGGCAGACGGTATCATAGGTGTTGGTCTAACATTACTCTCATCCCAAAAAGACGAATTGTCCTCAAGGTGGAAGTGAGGAAACTGTTGTTGGATTAAGTCACATGGTTCCTACATGGTGTCATAATCTGGAAATCATTTCCATTTAATCAGCACTTTTTTCCCACTTGTCGATTGCTCACACACCCCTTTTAACTCAAGTGGCTCCAAGAAAACTTTCATATCATCATCATCTCCTCAGAAGTTCCCGATGCAAAAAACTTAATCTATTAATGTAACCATAATCTTGTTGTGCATAATTTCTCCCAATATTTAGATTAATAGTAGTACCCTTAGTGACTCCCACTAAACGAACCTCAGCTGATAGATTTCCATATACGACATCAACAACTGCATTAGATATTGGACGTATCCATAGATGTTGTAGCATGTACCTAGCTTGAATTCTTCCAAATTCAACATCTGCATACTTGTAGTGCCATACAAGTGAGGTATCCCAATGCTCGAAAGGAGACCAACGAGCTCTTCCTATAAAATACTTGAAAACATGCTTCAAACTATTAACCCAATAAGTGTTAACATGTTCTGACATTGTAGACATCCACTCTCAATCTATAAGATGCCATAACGTCCCATTTTATGTTGTCAGCCACATATTGTATTCCCCAAAATTATCATCTAAGACATTTGTATCACTTCCACTAAACAAATAGTAGTTGTTGGATTCTTGAAAAGTGTTGTTAATGGGTCTTTTAAGTTTACATGAAGCTTAAGTCTCATCTTCTTAATTTGATCGACTCTTTTTCTACCAGAAGATTCAGCCAACTCTATTAGCATTGAATTGAAACCCTGGGTGTAAAAATATGGGCGTAAACTGATAGGAGAAAGACCCGGTCTCTGATTATTGCATCTTTGTGTTCTCTTAGAGCCGGCAATTTGCGTGACAACTGCAAAACTTCTAAACTTGTCTTAGGAGCAATTGGATCGGTGTCGGAATGTCTACCATCTTTGTGTCATGTGTCTTTTTCAATTTATGTAATTCGGTCAAGAATCCCAACTCTGCGCCATGTATTGCCCTAACCATAGTCTCAAGTGTAATCAAGGTCTTGCATAAACTAAGGTCACCACAAAGCACCGTCAACTTGTCTCTCTCCTGGAACTCTATTGTCAAAAGTTTCCAATTCATCTTGAGTCCCCCTAAGGACTGCAACAATTTCGTACCCAATATCACGTCAGTGCTCCCTAAATCTAAGGAAAAATGTCCTCCATCACCTAAATACCTTGCAGTGTTAAAATCACATTTAAAAATTCTCCTACTCTTCTCTACCTATCTTGTCTCCATCATGACTCTAAAATTTTTTGTGTCAACCATCTCAAGCCCCAATTTCTTCAATACTTGAGTAGATATGAGTTGTGGGTGGCCCCACTATCAAATAACACCACTAGGTCATGTTCTCTTATCTATCCCTGAAGTTTCATACGGTGGTTTGGTGTTAACCCCGCCACCAAGTTCAATGAGACTTCTACCAAATCCAAGTGAGGGTGTTCCTCCTCCAGCACCACCATAACCTTCTTTTTTCTCCATCCCCTATGAGAACATGTAAGGTTTGATCCGTGCAATGGTGTCGTGGAGCAAACATCTCATCATACTAAAAATAGAGCCCATTGGCTCACGTCTCCTGAATCTCTGTCTCTATAAGAAATTTGAATGCCGCACCAGTCAGGGACTATTATTCCCGTCCCGTGGAGCCTCCCTTTGGAATCCCACTATTAGAGTTTTTGGTATCGTCGTGGTTGTAGCATTTTTGGTAGAGTGCTCCACTTGTGTTGCTCTTACTAGTCTATCCCATTACATTTTTTTTTGTTCAACAAACTACGCTAATTCCATAGACTTCCCAAATCCTCACAGTCTCAAAGATGAAGTGTTGCTTGAATATCTGGCTTAACCCCTTCATCAAGTTTCTTTTCAACACTACTTCAAGCACTACTTCTGATATCCTTCTCAAACAACCCGATAGCATCTTAATTTTTTCCCTATAATCCATAGCGAACCCTTTCTGGACCAATGCCAAAAACTACTCGTGCAAATTGCCTTCCAGCGTGGTTTTGAAATGCTCTGACAATCGGTCTTTAAATTATTCTCATTTTCTGATTACCTGACGTCATTTTTTCCATTGATACCATGCTAGAGCCTTCCCTAATAAAAAAATGGTCGTCGCTATCAATTTTTCTTCCTTTGCAGCCCATTAACAGTAAAGTATCTCTCCATGCGATAAACCCAATCATAGGCATCCTCTCCTTCAAAGATCAACATCTTTAATATCCTTATGTGTGAGTCTCCTCAATTTTCTCTACCAAAGTTTGTTCTACCCATGAAGCGGAGTTTGGGTTCGTTTCCTTGATCCTTATTGATTTACATTCTTTCGTAAGTCTGGCTAGCCCCATGATCAACTCACCCATCCCCATAAACTTCTGAATCGCATTCCGCCCGAAACGTTCTCACAGCAAAACACATTAGTGTAGTTGGATGCAGCCCTCAGCCAGGGTCCACCCACCATGCTTCTCTGTTTCAGGCAAAAATCCTTCAAATTGATTTTCTTTAGCCCCAAATTGTATGTTGTCCAGTTCCAACTGCTATCGCTCGTTCCAGTCGTATGGATGTAGTGTTATTACTTCCAATTGTTGTTGCTCAAGTCTGTTTCTGATTCCTTTGCTTGATTCCACGACTCCATATCTGCCTAAGACAGCGACGTTGCTCTAATGCCACACAAATCCTTCAAATTCATACTGCTCGCATCCACTCTCGACATCATCACTTAATCTTGTGGAAGGAAACGGCGAGGTTATTTGAAACTCCTCAATCTTCATCACTTCTTCCAACACTGTGAATCTCCCCTCCATGGACAAGAACTAAATTTCCATGGATAAGAAACGCTTCACCTCTCCCTCTAATTTCTCCTCCAAAGCATCAACTTTCTCGACCATCATTAGTCTTAAGAAGGTTATCAATCACGAAGGCGGAACTCTTGTAAGTTGCGATCCCATCATTGGCTTCCCCACTAGCTAGAATCACGACTGTATTGTGAGGTTCAGTCATGAAGGCGACTAAACTCCAGTACGTCGTAATCCCGTCGTCGGCATAAAATTTTGAAACGAGACAAGTTTCCTCAGGTATTATGACCAAAATAATAAATTTTGATTGCGTCGGTACTCAATCAAAAAAGATACAATCCCAAATACATACAAGATAATTACCTACAAGTCGAGAGTTAAGGTGGCAAATGGATATATGAGTTTGGGAGTAAAATACCTTTGATCGCTTGGTTGAGTATGGTGAAAAAAAAAAGAATATTAAGCTGAATAGAAAAATATAAATAATATATTAAAAGAATAATTGAGTGATATCTATTGAAGATAATAAAATTAAAAATACACATAATTGGGCATACATCAAAAAAGGTAAAAATGCATTAGATTAATAGATAGATAGAATAAATACTAGAGAATTAGGAAGGAAAATGATAAAATTAAGATAACATTGATACAAAATATTCAAAAATAATTTGAGAACATATTTAACATCCCGAATTATACTCAACAACAACCAATTAAAAATAAGAAATCTTAAGCCAATCACAAATAGTTTGGATAAAGCTAATGATAATAATAAATTTATCCTAAGAAATGTCAACAATTAAGAATAAATAAGCTGATTATTCTATAATAATATTAGAGTAAGCTCATTCGCATCAAGTTTTAGTCATTATAGTGCTGATTTGGAGTTGTCCTTACAACAATCTTTGAACGAGCTCCCTGAAGAGGGGCTCATGATATAAGTGAACCAACAGCAAACTTCCCTCAAGAAGTTCATAATATTAGCTATGAGCATTTGCCACATATTTAGAATTATCATAGCTAAAAGGAAGTTTTCAACAAATGGGCATGCATATCATGCATATTTTATATAAATAGAAGCAGGTGATAAATCAACTAAATCTGCAAGCTTCTTGGATTGATAACAGGTGATACTTTAAAATGGATTCATTCTAGTAAATTAATTTACTGTGGTTTGCACAAATTGAAACACAAGGATTGTAAGGCTAGAGTTAAGAAACAATCACTGTTAAACATCATAACAAATCTCTTTTAACTTCTATTAACTACTATAATCATCCATCTAATGGTAGTTTGTCCTAACAAATTTTCAAATGAGGCTCCCTTAAGCCGAGCTATTTGCACATCTAAGTGAACAATTTTGGGAAAAAGAATCGAAATATATTTTATAAAGAAAAGCCAAATAAATTCTGGTAATAACATTTCTATTAAATGTGGCATACAATAACAACTTGCAATATAATCATCTCTTAATGTCAAACAGAACTTACTTGTGCAAAAGAAGGAATACACCAGACATGATGAACATTGCCGTAACAAGAAACCATCCAATGACAACCAAGCTGAAAAAGAAACAACAAAAAGTCAACAAAAAGCTCATGACAACTAGAAGTATATAAGAAAATAAAATAAAAATATGACCGAAGGATGACAAGAAGTGTGTGTGTGTGTGTGTGTGTGTGTCTCAGAAAAACAGAGAGAGAGAGAGAGAGAGAGAGAGATCTTACACGTATACGAGGAATTGCAGTCCCAATATGGAAAAAACTGTAAGAAAATAAAGAAGAAAAACAAATATCAATTTAAAAATAACCCATTAATGTACTAATAAAGTTTCAGATTAAGAAATCAAGTGAAAAAGTCTCACTAAATCCGAGAAATGCCAACAGAAGCATCACAGCTGCGACAATGATCAGAATTAATCGCCTGCATTAAATGAAGCATATTATATCATGTGCGCACACTGCAATTAGAAGATTAAAGACATACCTTCACAGGAATGCATTATAATATGAGAAAACTTACACAGTGTTCAGCACATGTCTAATATTTTTAGAATTTTTAGACGCCCGTCTATCCAGATCATTTGCAGATGTATTAACTTTAGTCACAATGTCATCAATCCTACTTTGTACATCAGTTGGAATAAGCATATTAGTCACTTGTATCCTCTTAGCAGCCGACAAATTGCCAGAAAATCCCCTAAGGTTTTCCACAGTAAAATTTGCCTGGTTAACAACATAATCTAACGTATCCGAGCTGCTTTTGTGAAATTTTTGCTGTCCATAGTAAAGAAGAACACATCCAACACTGAAAGCATACAACATAATCAATATCAATATAATCATGAGAAATAAGGTAAAAACACAAATCCAGAATCCAATTTGAGATATGGTTGAGAACTTCATACATAGCTGCCAAGGTGAAGAGGATGAGCAATGACAGAGAGATGGCATAAGCTGATAAAGAATGAGGGTGTAAAGGACGATGACAGCAACAGTAACAGCAGGCGCTAATGATCAAAATCAATCCAAAGATCACGAACCACACAAGGGCAATACCGAACAGAGGAGCAGCAGTGAAACCAACAGACTGCAAATTGAATTGAAAAGGTTACTGAAGTTACAGAAAAATAAGCCGAAAGATATTAAAACTCCTCATGGATGAGATGGAAAATCTCACAGCCCAGTAATGTCGATTGCTGATATTCCATCCTCCAGTGTAATGTTTGAAGTCGTTCAGAGGATCTCTCCTCTCTGTTCTCTCCGAAGCCAGGATGAAAGAGGAGTTGTTAATGGAATTGCCAGAAAGGGCAGTTGGCCCCTCTGCAGCCGACCTCCTGAAGGGAAACAAGACATGTCCTCCTCTTCCTGCAGAAATCCGGTAATAAAGCTTGCAAAAACCCAATCTTTATATCGCGAAAAGCATGCTATGAATCCAACATCCAACCATTTTTCAAAAAAGACGCCTCCTTTCTCTCAGAAACGAGAAAAAAATCCAGGAAAAAAAATTATGAGGACGGGAAAAACGTATTAATCGATGATATAACAGGAAAGAGAAAAACCTGATATGGATTTCTCCAGAGATGCGGCCAGCTATGAATCCAAAATCCAATCATTTTTCAAAAAAGACGCCTCCTTTCTCCCAGAAACGAGGAAAAATAAAAATTATGAGGACGGGAAAAACGCATTAATCGATAAAACAGGAGAGGGAAAAACCTGATATGGATTTCTCCAGAGATGCGGCCTCGGAAGAGATGAATAGGACAGTTAAGAGAAGGAGAAGAGAATTATTTGCTCGAGAGAATGCCATTGATTTCTCCTGTAAGACCTCCTTTTCTTTGTTTAACGGTTTTTATGCAGAGAGTTATCCAGCGAATGACAACTAGCTGAAAATACAGGAAAGAAAAAACCAGTTCTCTCCATTTAGGAAACGTTTTTCTTACTCGGTCTCCCGTCTATTTTATACTCTTTCCATGAATGTCAGATGTGGGCTCGAGATGGTTGCAGGAACTGCCAAATGCCGAGAGGGAAGGAGACGAGCAGGGGAGTCAGCGCGGGCTTGCATAAAATTGATTTTATTTTTTGTTTTTTCTTATGCATTCTTAAACAAAACAAAACAAAAAAAAAAAAAAAAAAAATCGTTGGGATGTTTGATGAACATTGGATGAGAAAACATTTTAAACTCTTTGGCTTCAACTAATAATTTATTTATTTGTTTTTTTTAAATAATTTTAAATTTTAAATTTATTCTGTTCAAATTTTAGGCAGTTTCTCAAATTATCTCCCATTTTTAGAAACTTTTTTAAATCTTAAAATAGGAAAAATCTTTTTTTTTCATTTTAATTAGTATGTTTTTAAAGATATTAAAAAAATATTTGTGGGAGTCCATTAATTACTCATAATTGTGTAGTCAAAATGAATTGAGTGAAGCATATCATGGAATAGATTTCATTTTATCATATAAGTTATTCAATCAACATATGCTTTAGCCAAGCTAGCTCTTATGTGTTCATACTTGACATGCTTAAAATTGCCTATAATTGAGATTGGTCGTTGCTTAACTTCTCAAAATTGATACAATGAGTGCTTAAAAGGAGTTAATAAAGAAGCTCACAAGAAAATAAGCATTAAATGAATTCTCATATTGTTATCATATTAAGTCTAACCAATCAAGAACTTCACTAAACTTAAAATTAGCTTCTATTTAGATATTGATACAACAAGCATCATAGTTATATGCATAAATTATGCAAACACAAATCTCGAGGAGATCCAACAGTCCATGAGATAGAAGGAATATCAAAGGGCGGACAACAAAAAACCTAGATGTCTGCTGGAGGGGTTGATAGCTTGGGAAATCCTGGTGTGGCCAACAGAAAAGCAACTCATGGATGTCAAATGTCTCCCAGATCATTGGCTCACCACCTGAATGAGATCGAGGGTTTCTTCGCTCTGGCGACTTAGATCCAATGAGAGGAGGAAATATGTGAGCTGCAGTATGAGTTAGTTGCCCTTTAGTTGGAACTACCGAATGTTTGGGAGGCATGCTCCATACTCCATATTCAAGCCGAGATGAATTGGGTTGAGTGGTTCAAATTTGGGGGAGAAGTCTTAATAAAAGGCGGTTTCATAAGGGGCATGTCTCAGCCGAAGCGGCGGATGATTTTTCTTATAAAGTGTTTTCTCTTGAAATAATTTTGTAATTTAATTCCTAATACTTAATATTAAAATAAATTTTTATTTTCTTCTTTAATCCTTTTTGGATATGATGTTTATGTCAGTGTGTCATTTGAAATTAATGTATTATTCTATTTTTATCTTTGTGTGACGGTTCAACTTCTCTTATTACCTTATATATAAGGGATATTTGTTAAATTACACTGTACTTTTTATGATCTTTGTTTTCCTTGCTTTTTCTTATCTTGGCTTTCTATTTTTCCTTCTTTTTGTGCTTCATTCTGATGGTTCGAAGTATGCTCCAAATAATTTTAGGTTGGTCATTGCGTCTGAGTGGTTGGCCATGACACCGAGGGAGGTTGTCAACCATGACACTTAGAGATGCGGTCAACCATGAGATCAGGGGAGGTGGTCCAGTTAGAAGATACTTGTGTTTTTTATTTTCCTATCAAGATTTTGGCCATTGGCAGTAACAACCGAGCCACGCGCCTGTTCGTAAATTCTCTCATTTTTTTACCAAGATCAGTTCAAGTGGGATTTGAGACTACCATTCTATCATGACTTACGAGCAATCTTCAATCACTATGGGGTTATCCCTACCCAAATTATGTCAAAATCCATTGTCTTCATCATGACGTATGTTATCATTTGTCACCAAGTTGGAGTATCGCAGTCGATGCAACTCTCCACCTACATGTTTTCTTTTCGGGTTGGCTTGAAGATATACATATAGTTCTTGTCGGCCAGCAAATTTCAATTGTCGGGCATGAAAAATAAGATAAAGGATTAGAAGTTGTGTTTCTTCCTCAGCTCTTATTCCTTGGGTTGGGGCATCCAGATCGTCCTGATAGGAGACATAATAAAGAAGAAGATGATATCGAATGGAATCCTGTATGAAGGAATTTAGATCAAAGGAAGGAGGTTGTCCTTCATCCAGTATCTTGACCTGGTAAATGTTAATCGGGTAGCGGAATCAGGGAAGTATGATCCGTTGACAGCAGAGGTCGGGACGGATTTAGATGTCAGCGAAGCTACGCAAGAGGCGGCGGCTATCGCTCTGTCCACCATGGAAAATATACAAATGAATACGCTCATTTCAAGGTTGGAGTGATGGCAGGTAAGAAGGTGTCGTGGTGGATCGCTCTGGAAAGGACATCAAAGGTGTGGACTTTGTGTATTCCATATCTGATTCTTCCGTTATAATTCAAATAATTGCCACCGATGAATTAGTTCTTTTCAGGAGGAAAGTTAAGAATTCTTTGTCAGGTGTTGGTCCTTTTGGCACACGGTACTAAGATGGTGAACAGGCGCCAATCTGGTTAGAAGAGAATGGTGCTGAGGGGGAGGTAATGGAAGAAGGACCAAAAGTTGTGCCAATGACTCCTCGGCACGCTGCTACAAGTTTTATTGAGCTATCAGCAAGGGACTAGGCTAGTCGACCTTCTCCAGTTGCTCTGTATGCATTCAAGCCTGAGCCGAAAGATGAGCCTACCATCCAAGAAAATGAAATGCGTCATTGGAAGGGAAGGCTCTAGTTGTCAACTTGAGAACTTCGCCTCCTCCACCTCTCATAAATAATAGAAGGGGTACGCGCATGTGTAGTTTCCTATGCAAAGGGAGAGGGTGAAGATGTTCACAAGCACTAAGGAGTGGCTTACCCTAGTCAATATGACGAGAGACTGGTAGTCGGATTCCTCTACCATGGCCATGCATACTTTTATGATCGAGAACATTTTTTTGTCTCGCAATTTTGAGGAATGCTTTTGCAAACATAGCTTCTTGGGCCTATGCTAAGCAGTTGACCAATACTAGCTAACGGCCTTTGATGCCTTTCATTGTAGTCGATTCTTATCTTTGATTTAGAGTGTAAATTTTATAAAGATTAAAGAAGGTTGAAAGCCGCAAAAATGGGCACAAGCTATTGAGGATCGAGCGGTTGCAACTGAGAATAGGGTAGAGAAAGCTGAAGCTAAAAAATTGGGTCTGTCAGGGTGATTATTAGTTTTTCAAGGAGAAAATTAATATTTTAAGAAGAAAATGATAACAATAAAGATAAAAGAAGAGTTTTTCGATGCCCTTCCTTCCCACCCTTGCCAGATAGCGGCTCTCTCTACATAGCTTTGAGTTGGGACCTCCATTGCAATTAACCAGCTTGTAAAGGCAAAGCTCATTGACTTCAAGTAGTTTAATCTAAAGGAATTTTTTGCCCTCTTGAGTTTGGAGGAAGAGACTGATGTGTGAAAATATTGCATGAATTTCTTTATATTTTGCACATCTTTTTGAATGAAATTGCACTTTAAGGAAAGGTTTTTGTATTTTTTATTGCATGTACAATAAGTATTAGAAGTGGAACAAAGTGGAAGGAACATGGAGCCAAAAGGAGAAAATTTGAAGAAATAACAGTTTATGAAGGCTGGGGCCATGGCGCCAAGTATTCGACTCCTAGATGCCAGCCACGCCTGGAAACCGAGAGAATGGTGTCAGGGTGCCAAACATTGGGCGTCATAACCCTAGTCTTGAAATCCAAGGTCATGGCGTTAGATCAGTGTGGCGCTTAGGTGTCAGTCAACAAAGTGCAACCCGAGAGGTTGGGGCTTAAGCGCCAACCACTGAGCGTCATATCACCAGTCCTGAAGGCCAAGGCCATGGTGCCAGAATAAAGTGGCGTTAGGCGCTAGGACTGAATTCTAGATGGTTTTGAGATGCTTTTGAGCGGTTTCAGAGTAGGTTAATGGCAGTTTTAAGAGCAATTTGAAGGAGATTTTAAGAGAATAAGTAGAGTTTGTGAAGAGAATTTTTCCATAGGGTGATTTATAGTGTGTGTTCTAGGGTTAGAGTGTTTTGGAGGGATTTTTCTCATGTGTTTGTAAGCCTAGGTTTGTTCTAAGCAAGCCTAGGGGTGTGAGTTGTGTTGTGTAGTATGTGTTGTTATATAATTAGTTCCAGGAGAAGAGCAAATGGTTGGGTGGAGCAATCTCAAGGTAAATTAAGGGAGAGAGATAAGTATACATGTGATTTGGATTTGTAGTTTTCTGAAACACATTTGTATGTTGAATCTTTTTGTTTTGATGCATTCTAGTGTTGTTTTATTAATGCTTTTTGTGTAAATTTACTTGCTTTTCCTTGTGGTGATGTAGTTGATGTGTAGGAATGTGGACAACATGCATGAAATATTTTTTTTATTCTGTAATTGTGATGATTTCCTTCTGCACTTAGCTTAATTTTCAATATGGTCAATTTGCCTGTTAAAATGTTTTGTGAGCCCGTAAGAACTCGGAAGTGCTATGGCATGAACAACTAAGAAAATTACGTTGAAATATAGCTTATGAATCAAAGTACATTATAGGGAGATGCAAATAAATAGGGAGATAAACTTCATTGGGTTTAAAGTGGGACTTAAGGAATTAAGATCACTTTAATCAAGCATCTTTATATACTCAGAAGAGGGTAAAGTGAGACTTGTGCACTAGCATATATAGGGGCGGTCATCCTGCAGGGCACCACGTCCATTAGGGAGGAGCTTAATCATTAAGATTAATGCATTTTCTGTAGGTGCTTGCTTAGCTCTCCTCCCGTCGGATGAGTGATACACCAAAAATATATGAATTTTTATACTCATATTTTATACTTATTTTTTGTGATATTGCACTTTAATGAAAGATTTTTTTATGTTTTATTGCAAGTGGTTGATTTTGAGGACTTGGAGCGAAAATGAAGCAAAAAATAATGAAATTTGGAGTCAAAATGGAGAAGTTGAAAATTTGTTCAGCACTGACGACGCCGGACTGGGTGTCGACGGCGCCGTTTGACAGAGAAAATGGAATTAAACAC